TAGAACATAGAACATAGAACATTACAGCGCAGTACAGGCCCTTCGGCCCTCGATGTTGCGCCGACCTGTGAAACCAATCTGAAGCCCATCTAACCTAAACTATTCCATTATCATCCATATGTTTATCCAATGACCATTTAAATGCCCTTAAAGTTGGCGAGTCTACTACTTTTGCAGGCAGGGCATTCCACGTCCTTACTACTCTCTGAGTAAAGAACCTACCTCTGACATCTGTCCAATATCTGTCACCCCTCAATTTAAAGCTATGTCCCCTCGTGCTAGCCATCACCATCCGAGGAAAAAGGCTCCCACTGTCCACCCTATCTAATCCTCTGATCATCTTGTATGTCTCTATCAAGTCACCTCTTAACCTTCTTATCTCTAATGAAAACAGCCTCAAAACCCTCAGCCTTTCCTCATATAGAATAAGGTTTATATATAGAATAAGAGATACCGAGGAGTGAATTACAGACTGGAAACTAATCGAGGACCTTGGGTGGTTTCTATCAAGACCGGGGAGTGACTTAAAGACTGGAATCTGATCAAGTGATTCAGGTGGTTATCATAGATAGAATAACAGATCCAGGTAGATCTCCTATAACACAATAGTTGTGTTCTTGTGTGACCTCACCCTATAGAAAATTATGATGGAAAATCGCTGTACCTGCACAGCAGAAAGTTTGCGGTATCCAAACAGCGTCCACGACTTGTCAATTGCGTTACACCAATTCACATCAGCGAAACCCACGTTATAGCAGAACTACCTATACTTGGGAGTATGGTACAGATGAGAATCTAATCAAGGACATTCATTGTATTAAAATAACAGAGAGCTGTGAGTGAGTTACACACTGCAGTCTAATCAATTGGCATGGGGGTGTGTGGTTTATATGTAGAATAACAGGGACGGCACAGCGGCTAGCACTGCTGCCTCATACTGTCACAGACTTGGGCTTGATCCACCCTCAGGCGACTGTCTGTGTGAAGTTTGCATGTTGTCCCCATGTCTGCGTGGGTTTTGTCTGTGTGCTCTGGTTTCCTCCCACAGCCCAAAACTGTGTAGGTTTAGTGGATTGGCCATGCAAAATAGCCCATAGTGGCCAGTGATGTGCAGGCTTGGTGGATTAGCCATGGCAAATGCAGGGTTACAGGGAGAGGTAGGCGGGTGGGTCTGGGTGGGATGTGGTTTGGAGGCTCAGTGTGGACCCAGTGGGCCACATGGTTTGCTGCCATACTGTAGGCATTCTATATTTCTTATATGAACACATACCCAGGAGTGTACAACAGTTTGAAATCTATTGGAATATTTTAGGTGGGTGATATATGTATTAAAAGATACCCAGGAGTGAGTCAGACCCTGGAATCTAATCAAAGGGTTCAGGGTGATTTTTGTAAAGAATAAGAGATACCTGGGTGTGAGGTACAGCCTAGAATCTAATCAAAGCCTTTGGGGGTGATTTATATGCAGAATATGCAGATCCAGGTGTGTATTACAAACTGGAATCTAATCAAAGGGTTAAGGTAGTTAATACAGATTAACAGATATCCAGGAGTGTGGTACAGTCTCAGTTCTACTCAAGCGATTTGGGTTGTTTCTACAGAGATGAACGGTTACCTGGAATTGAGTTACAGACTGGAATCGAAGTAAGAGGTGCAGAGCAGTTTATGTATCGAATAACAGATCTGCAAACGAGTCACAGATTGGAGTCTAATTGAATGGTTCAGACTGGAATCTGATCAAGGTGTTTAGGTGGTTTCTGTCAAGAATAATAGATACCCGGGAGTGTGTTACAGGCTGGATCAAGGGGTTTAGATTGTTTACATAGATAGAATAACAGATACCTAGCAATGTGGTACAGATGAGAATTTAATCGGGGGTTTGACTGGTTCCTATGTAGAATAACAGATAGCAGTGAGTAATTTACACGCTGGATTGTAATCGGAGTGTGCAACAGACTGGAATGTAATAGAGGGTTTTGGTGATCCTTATGTAAATAATAACAGATGTGTGAATCTACTCGACAAGTTCACAGATACTGGGAGTGAGTTACAGTCTGGAATCTAATCAAGGCATTTGAAGTAGATGATACATATACTGACAAATAACCGGGAGTGTGGTACAGTTTGGAATCTAACCAAGGTGGTTTCTGAAGAGTATAACAGATACCAGGAATTGAGTTACACATTGGAAGCTAAGTAAGGGATGCAGGGTTGTTTATATATCAAATAACAGATATCTGCGAGTGAATTTATAGAACTAGAATCCAATTGAGGGGTTCAAGGTTGTTTATATCCAGAATGATCCAGAATGGTTTACAAAATAAGAAATGTACTCCCATAAATGTCTACAGACTGGAATATAATCATAAGGTTTGGGTGGTTCATGGATAGAATATCAGATACGTGGGATTGAGTTATAGGCTGGAATCTAATTGAGGGATTCATATAATTTATGTATAGAACAACAGATACCTGGGAGTGAGTTACAGACTGGAATTGAGGTGTCTGGAGGATTTATGAGTAGAGTAACAAAAACAAAGGACTGAGTTGCACACTTTAGTTGCATTCAGGTTGTTTATATAAATAATACCAAATTCCTGTGAGTGAGTTATAAACTAGAATCCATGGGAGGGGTTGAGTGTGGTTTACACAACTAAAACATATAGCTGGGGTGAGGTCCTGACCGAAATCTAATTGGAAGGTTTGTGTGGTTCATATATAAAGAGCAGATATCCGGGATCGGGTTACAAACTGGAATATAATCGCGGATTCAAAGTGGTTTCCAAACATATGTAGAATAACAGATAGCAGATAAATACAGATGCCATGAGTGTGTCACACACTTGAATCTGATCAAGCAGTTTGGGTAGTTAAAATATACAAGACACCTGGGAGATAGCAAGAACTGCAGATGTTGGAGTCAGAGTTAACACAGTGTGGAGCTGGAGGAAGACAGCGGGTCAGGCAGCAGCAGAGGAGCAGGAAAGTCAACGTTTCGGGTCGGGACCCTTCATTAGAACCGGAATCTAATCAGGGGTTTGGTGATTTATATATGGAATAAAAGGTACTGAGAATGAGTTACAAACAAATCTAATTGAGGGATTCGGGAGGTTAATGTTTAGAATAACAGATACCCAGGAATGAGTAACAGACTGGAATATGATCAAAGGGATCATGGTGATTTATAAATATGTATAACAGATTCCCAGGAGTGTGCTACAAAGCGGAATCCAGTGGAGGGATACAGGATGTTTATATATAGAGTAACAGATACCTGGGCGTGTGTTACAGACTGGAATCTAATGGAATGGTTTGGGGAGATCTTTACATAAATAATAACAGATATTTGAGAGCGATTTATGAAGTGCAATCTAATCAATTGTTTTGGTGTGTTTTAGATATAGAATAATACATATTGGGAGTGAGTTATCGACTGGAATCTAATCAAAGGTTCGGGGTAGTTTATATAGAGAATAACAAATACCTGGGAGTGAGGTACGGACTGGAATGTCATCAAGGGTTTGGGGTGCTTCACATATAGAATAACAGATGACCCTGTATACTTTCCAGACTGGAATATGATTAAGGGCTTCAGTGTGTTTTAGATATAGAATAACAGATATTGGGAGTGAGTTACTAACTGGAATCTAATAGAGTGTTCGGGGTGGTTTACGTATAGAATAACAGTTATTGAGGAGTGAGTTACAAATTGAAATCAAATCAAAGGTTTCAGGATGGTTTATATTGAAGATAAGTAATATTCTGAAGTGAGTTACAGACCAAAATCTGATCAAGGGTTTTGGTGTGTTTTAAATAGACAATAACAACGCCAGAAGTGAGTCACAGATTGGAATCCAATTGAGGGTTTCAGGGTGATTTATACGTAGAATAACAGGTACCCAGGAGTGAGTTACACACTGGAATATAATCAAGGGATTCAGGGTAGCTTATACATAGAATATAAAGACTTGGAAGTGTGCTAAAGACTGGAATATATTAGAGGATTTTGGGGTGTTTCTGCAGAACAGAGAACAGTACAGCACAGTACAGGCCCTTCAGCCTACAATGTTGTGCCGAACTTTTACCCGAAACCTAAGGTCTATCTAACCTCCACCCCTACCTTATACTATCATCCATACGCCTATCTAATAGCCGCTTAAATGCCCTGAATGAGGCCGATTCCACTACCCTCTCCGGCAATGCATTCCATACCCCGACCACTCACTAAGTAAAGAACCTCCCTCTGATGTCTCCCCTATATCTACCTCCACTCACTTTAAAACTATGACCCCTCGTAATAGCTACCTCCACACTAGGAAAAATATCTCTGGCTGTCCACTCTATCTATACCTCTGATCATTCTGTACACCTCTATCAAGTCACCTCTCATCCTTCGTCGTTCTAAAGAGAAGAGCCCTAGCTCTCTCAACCTTTCCTCGTAAGACCTTCCCTCCATTCCAGGCAACATCCTGGTAAATGTCCTCTGCACCTTTTCCAATGCTTCCACATCTTTCTTGTAATGAGGCGACCAGAATTGGACACAATACTCCAGATGTGGCTAAACTAGGTTGTTGTATAGCTGGAGCATAACTTCACGGTTCTTGAACTCAATCCCTCTATTAATGAAAGCTAACACATCATACGCCTTCTTAACAACTCTATCCACCTGGGTGGCAGGTTTGAGGGAACTGTGGACATGAACCCCAAGATCCCTCTGCTCCTCCACACTGCCAAGAATCTTTCCGTTAACCCTGTATTCTGCTTTCAAGTTTGTCCTTCCAAGATGAATCACC